AAAAAATAGTTTACCAATAATGAAACAGATTTAAATGATTGAAAAAAAAAATGATTCAAAAGACACTCGAACAACAAAATAGAAAAGTCAGATCGCGAAGAGATCATCGTGTAATTACTGTGATTTGGGATTAGCTGTACGTTAGATACCCAACAAATTGACTAGGATATTCAAATTCCCAAGTGCGACCTTATTCCGTAGTCGAACGTCAAAAAGCTCTAGAAAGAGGAAGATTAGTTATCTTCAAAGAAAAAAAAATACAAATTCAGAATATGAAGAAAATCATAATACTCGTCCCCGCCCTCTCCTTGAGAAATAAAACCAACAACAACAACAAAAAAAAACAAATAAAAAAATTAAAAAAAGAATAAAAAACAAACCACTACGGAAATACTCCATGTGAGTAGAATTTAAACAAAAAAAAAAAAATACAAGAAGAAAAAATACGTCACACGAATCGACTAATGCTTATTTAAAAAAAAAAATAAAATAAAATAAAAAATGTGGACAATGGTGTTCTGAATAAAACGAAGAGAAGTAATATGAAAGTAATTCAACTTAGCCGAATGTGTCATCATTATTTTCGGCATCGAAATGATCGAATAAAGAAGATATTTCTCTCCAAATGATGATTTATCGAAATAATACTTTTCTTCTAAACGTTTAAACGTTGTCACTTTATCGTAAATGTTTTATTCGTACATAGATAATAACAACAATAACTACATAACAACAACAAGAACAACAACAACAATAACAACAACAACTAAAAGTGAAGTTAAACTGATGAAAATCAAGAAGTTAACTTTTAAACAAGATGAAAAATATGCTAATAAAAAGTTAATCTGTGTGTCGTGTTTCTATATCGTAGAATAGAAACTAGTGATACGCGCATTCCTGGACTTTGGTCTCGTATTATGGTGTAACATAGAAATTGCTTACGACCTATACTAATGTTAGGTCAAATGCATCTTTGAAAGAAAAGAAAAGAAAAGAAAAGAAAAGAAAAGAAAAGAAAAGAAAAGAGAAGAAAGAAAGAAAGAAAGAAAGAAATAATGATTAAATGATTAATGATATTATCGTCAAAAAGAAAAAGAAGAAAATAAGTGGCAGGAGGGAGGGAGGGAGGGAGGGAGGGGAAAAAAGAAAGAACAAATTAAGTACATAAGTTAAATCAATCAGCGATAAGCAGGCACTTTTTCGTGTTCTTTCATTCTTCCTTCTTTTCTTTGATTAATCAATTTTTGTCGCTTTTTAAACAAAAACCAAATGCATAAGCTAATAATTTTTTTTTCTTTCAAGGTATACAAAACAAATAAAAATTATAACGCTTGTGACGATGCATTTATTGTACCAATAACTCGCAATATATCCATCCACAGACTATGAAAAAAAAAAAAAAAAAACAAAATAAGGATTCTAACCGAGGTAGCACACGTTCGATAAATATTATATAGAACAACAATTATTAACAACCAACAACAACAACAACAACACAACAACAAATTCTACATATATGTATGTATATTCGAGATAATGAGTAACGTTGCTCATTGTCTCTATTTAGGGTTCTTATTATTAAGAGTTATCTTATTATTAACGATAACTTTACTTAATTTTTAATAAATAAGATAGTAAGTGAAAATTCATTCAGGTTCGAATAAAGAAAAAGAAATAGGAAAAAAAGAAAAAGAGAGAAAAAAAAACAAAAAGGTGTAAGATTTTGATCCATCCAAACTTGAGCCAAAATTTAAGCTTAAGCTTTATTGAGCTCTTCAGAAAAAAAAAAAAAAAATTCCTCGGTCTAGATCCTTCATGACTGTTTTCTCGTTTTTATTTTTTTTATATTTTTTTATTTTATTTTATTTGTTCGAATCAATTGCGTCGCCTTTTTGAATCAAATTCTATTCGCCTTTAGTAATATTTAATAAAATATATATATATATATAAAAAAAAAAGAAGTAATATATAAAAGTAACAACCAAAACCGTAATAAATAAATAAATAAATAAATAAATAAATAAAGGAATTAATTGTAAAATAGGAAAAAAAAAAGAGATTAAACAAAATAATGGAATACGTTATTTTACGCTTTACTACTAGTGAGATAATTCGAATTGAAAATGGATAAAACAAATAATAATAATCTTATCTTCTAAAAATCGTGTTTGTTGTTGATCGTTCGAATTAATCCTGATGAATTATACTACGAAGAAGACAAATTCTAAGGAATAAGAATAAGAAGAATAGAAGAGAAAGAGATAGAAAGATAGAGAGAGAGATAGAGAGAGAGAGAAAAGTTGCAAAATTTCTGCTTTTTTGTACTCACTCCTACTTTTGGCAGCTATTGTTATTTAATTAAATATAAAATAAATACATTATTATTCGTGCTTGAATAAGAATATAAAATGGGAAGCAAAAAAATTAGGAAAAGAAAAAACAAACAAGAGGAAACGTCCTGAACCACAGACCAGACTAAGAAGAAGAAGAAGAAGAAGAAGAAGAAGAAGTATAATAAAATAGCATCAGCAAACAAAATCAATATAGGATTATTTTATTTATCCTAAATAATATAGGATAAAAAAAAAGAAAAAAAAAATAAACGATTGATGAACGATGGTGATAATAGTTAATGGTGATGAGTTTGTATGATGGTGTATATGTGTGATTTTAAAATTGAAAAAGCCAAACCAACAGGGGAACGACAATGGAGAATGAAAATAAATGTAAAAAGAAAATTTGTTGAAAAAAGAAGAAACAAGAAAATAGAAGAGAAGACAAATGAAATGAAGTAATGGAAAAAGAAACCATGAAAGTATTTGCGAGCCATTTGAGAAATTTCATAATCAAAGAGAAATTCTAAGAGTAAACAATACAACAAGAACAAGAACAAGAACAACAAAATAAAAAAAATTAAAAATATATAAAAAAAGAGATTTTTACACGTTTCAAACGATAGGCCTCTTTGTACATCCTACTTTTGCTTATTGCGTTTAAAAGATATTAATATATATGTATATGTATATTATATGATATATGATATATATATAAATATTATATATGCATATATATATTTATATATATTATACCTATATTGGTATGATAAATTTAATCGTTGTTCTGTAATACAGAAGAAACATAATGCTGTTTTAGACGAGGATACACGCTTGACCTCGTATATAAATATATATACATATTATATATATATATATATATATATACGTGCATAAATACAATTATACGTATAGGTAGAGCATTTTGGAACAAAGTGAAGAACAACGACAAATAACAAATTCAAAACAAGGAACGAACGAGAAAGAATAAAGAAACATTATGATAATAAATATATATCTTAGTTTCTTTCATTAAATCCTTCGTTAAATCCTTGGAATTTGATAACTGTTCTCTTCGTTGAGCTTGTGATTGAACACTATGAATTGTTTACGTATAATGAACTAATCAATGTTGAGTTGTAAAATTGAATGACAATTTTACGTCAAATAAATCAGACATTATTCAAAAATTTCTTAAATGTGTACCCTCCTCTTGTTCCGAATCTAACAAGAATCTGTGTTGCGTACCTCTGGCCTCAAGAGAATAAAATTAAAAACAAAGGATAAAGTGATAAAAATCATATCGACGAGAAGATAAACCAACAAATAAAGTTATCTCTTTGGGTATATGTACAAGTAAACATACCCACATCCGTTCGAATGTGAATGAATAATATTTGAAACAAAAACTTATCGGGATATGAAATACAAAATGACCATAATGGACATATTGGTATCATCCTGATCATGGTAATTTCAAGGATCGTCGTTTTGAAAGTTCACAGCAAATGGGGGTTCCCCGATTGAATGAGAAACCGATTCTTGAAACTGGAATTAATACTACAAGTTCTTAACAAACTTTAACTTATATTACTTGGAATAAAAACAAGAGTGCTACGCATTAATGCGCTCTCTTAGCCTAACAAAAAAAAAAAAAAAAAAAAAGAAAATATTTGATGGAACAAATAAGAAAGAAAAGAAAACAAAAGGAAACAAGAAAAACCATCTTTGGATGGGTGAACGAAAAATGCAGTAAAGGAGATCCGGTTTTGCTCAAAGGAGAAACCAACCTTTGAAAGCTTCCCGGTTCTCAGGTCTTATAGGTAGTAAGTAAGTTTTTTACCGCCCGATTATTATTATTATTATTATTATTATTATTATTATTATTGTTATTATTATTTTTACTTTACGTGCGACGATTCATGACGGTGTCTGCGAGAAGATGAAAAAAAAAAAAATTAAAACAAAAAGGGTGAAAAAAAAAAAGATAAAACATAAAATACTAGAGATTATTAATAACTCTCATAAAAGTTTCACTATACCGATCATCGATCGTTATTAGTTATATATATTTATATATATATATATATATATGTATCCCTCTCTCTCTCTCTCTTTCTCTCTCCCCTCTCTTTGTGTCTGTGTGTGCCTATATAATTTATTTATTTATTATTCACGAATTATTTATTAATACGTTTCCATGACTGGTATATCAAAATGTTTGTCAATGATGATCGACGTTTATCATCAAAATAGTCCACGTGAAATGAATTATAAAATAAAACGAGGACACAAAATTTGAATGTGTTTCATAAAAAAAAAAAAGAAAAAAGAAAAGAAAAAAGAAAAGAAGAAGTGGACGTTTAATAATATTAAATAATATCTTAATCGAATCTAAAGATATGAAAAAGAGTTGCGAAAAACGCGAAAATCTATAATTACTGTTAAACGAGATATACGACTACTATTACTATTATTATCTTTATTATTATGTGATTATGATTATAATTAATATTATTATTATTATTATTATTACTATTATTATTATTAGTATTATCTTAATTGTCATACTTACGTTATTATTATCGTCGCTATTTAATGATAACTGATAAAAATTAATGTCTACCATTTAATGCTAGAACGACTTCATCATTATCATCATTATCATTATCATCATCATCATTATCATTATCACCATCATCGTTCTCTATCATAGTGCGAATCAAATCCTTTTGTAATACGTACATATGGTTCATAAAGTAAGAGCACGAGAATGTTTTGTGAAATATTGCGATAATTGAGATGAAAAGAAGGGTTAAAAGGAAAACAAAATAAGCAGAAAGAGAGAGAGAGAGAGAGAGAGAGAAAGATATTGAATGAAAGAAAGAAAAGTAAGATAGATGATGACGATATACACCTCTATATATTTATGTATTATTTATTGATGAATAATAACGACCAGCTATACTAGGTAGGATGTTAAAATTATGAAAATTAAATTTAACGAGAAACAAAAGTATAACAAAAAAAAAACTAAACGAACGCAATAATGAAAGAAAATTAATGAAAGAAAGAGAAAGAGAGAAAAAGAGAGATAGAGAGAGAGAGAGAGAGAGGGAAAGAGAGAAATAGTGATAAAGAGAAGATAAAGTATATGAGAAGAAGAAGGAAAAAGTAGAAGAAGGAGAGGGCAAATGAAATTAAATATGTCGAATTAAATAACGAATGAGATAAATAATATAATTAAACATTAATAACGCGCTGACAAATTCTAGGAACGAGCTTTCATTGAGAAAAATAAAACAATTTAGGGGTTGAAGTATAATATTATATACACCGAGAGAGAAAGGATAAAATATATAAATATATAATAATATATACGAGATAAATAAAAAAAAAAAAAAAGAAAAAAAAAGAAGAAGAAGAAGAAAGTGAGCAAAGTGATAGCGAAGGACGGGTGGTGAGGAGAGGAGAGGAGAGGAGAAAGAGTTCGAATACAACAAATATAAATGATAAAGATAAGGAATAAAGTGAGAAAAAGAGAATGGAAAGAGATAACATGAAAAACAATAACAAAAAAAAGGAAAAAAAAACGTGAGCAGCTTCGACGCCTATGCGAGAGATTTGTAATCGAAATGCTCGTAAATGGTTAAGCAGGGGGTGAGAATTCATAATTATCGGGCTTATCGAATAGTCATGGATAATACTCTTTGTTTTTTTGTTTGTTTGTTTGTTATTTCTCAAAAATATTTATTGAGAAAACTTGATGTGATGACAGTAAAAAAAAAAGAGACTGGTAAAAATAAAGAAAGGAAATGAGGATGACGATGATGGGGGGGGGAGAGGGGAGGGTTGAGGGGGAAGAATGTATGGAAGATATAAACTAAACGCTTCGCGTGATAAGAAACTAATGAATTTCTAATACGGACTCTAGTCATGAGAAATCTCGTTTCGTAAACGTAAAAAAAAAAAAACACAAAAAAACAAAACAAAACATAATATATATATATTAAAAAAAAAATCATCTAGTCATTCAGTCGAAAGGTTTATTGTTATATGAATGTGTAATGCCTAGATTATAATATATAAGCGACACCGATTTCATTTTTGCCACTTTATTATTGTCGCAAGTTCTCACCCCTTTGACGAAGCGCATCAGCGCATCGCGTTTTATTTGAATTATATTTCTTGTTTATTTTTTTTTTTTTTTAATTTTATTTTTTGGTGTTCTTTTTTTTCCTCTCTTCGAATAAAACCAAATTTAAAATTAAAAGAACAAGTAAAGTAAAGTAAAGTAAAGTAAAGTAAAGTAAAGTAAAGTAAAAACAAATTAAATGAAAGAAAAAGAAAGAAGGAAATAAAAAAGTAACCAAGGTGCAAAAAAGAAACTAAGAAATGAAGAAAGCTAAATAAATAAATAAATAAATAAACAAAATAAAACAAAACAAAACAAAAAAGTAACAAAAATAATAAACTTACTGTGGAGTGTTCATGGTGCTACGATTATTATTATTATTATAGAAATAACAATGTTATGCTATATATGATATAAATAATAATATAATAAATATACACTATACCTTATATAGAGAGCGTATCTCCCCAATCACTTCTTCACATGCGTCCACACGAAAAGAATTTAATTAATTATATTTCATTTTTTTTTCTTTTTTTCATTACTTATATTTTTCCTCTCTTTCTCTCTCTCTCTCTCTCTCTCTCTCTCTCTCTATCTCTATCTCTCTTTCGCTAGATTTACTATTTACACACGAATCGTCCAAACTAATCAATTTACCCTAACGGCCTAGATCATATATATATATATATATATATATATGTGTATATACATATATATATATACATATATATGTAATTACGAAATTACAATTAGAGTAATATTTAAATAATACCAGAGAAAAGTGTATTTATGACAGAATAAATAATAAAATATAGAAATAAATAAATATTAAAATAAAAGAAAAAAATATATATATATAAAAAAAAAAAAAAAAAAAAAAAANTCTTTCGCTAGATTTACTATTTACACACGAATCGTCCAAACTAATCAATTTACCCTAACGGCCTAGATCATATATATATATATATATATATATATGTGTATATACATATATATATATACATATATATGTAATTACGAAATTACAATTAGAGTAATATTTAAATAATACCAGAGAAAAGTGTATTTATGACAGAATAAATAATAAAAAAAAAAAAAAAAAAAACAAATATAGAGTACCTATCTATAAAAAAGAAAAAAAGAAAACAAAGATCGAGGTAAGTTCTTAACGTATCTATGTGAACAAAAATAATCGTTACGCACTCATTAAGATACTTAAACGTAAAAATAATAAGGTATACAAAAGAAAACAATAAAACGAATAATTTATTTCTAAAGCGATTCGATTTTTACAACCTTAATTTTTTATTCGTATTTAGAAAGATGGAATAATATAACAATGATTATTATTTAAAATCGATCTAGAACGATTTTTAGAACCTAGTGTTATCCGGCATCTTAACGAAATAGGCAACTTTATCTTCAGCAACTCTGTAATTATGGATCCATCTTGATCCTTTTCTAAGACTACCATCTATACCATCTCTCCAAACACCAGCAGGTAGATACACTTCTCTCTGTCTGCTACCTGAATATAGTACAGGTGCTACAATCAATTCTTCGCCAACAGAAAATTCATCAACGACTACGTGACAAGCTGGATCACCTGGATCTAACATCCAAAGGGGTCTAATGATCGGCACACCCGTGTCTAAAGTTTCATTAGCATATTTTTTCAATAAAGGTGTCACCGTTTTTTGTCTCAATGTCGTCAATCTCTTTGCTATCTCCAAGACCGAATCATCAGAATATTTACTAGGTAAATGAGTGAAACGTATAACGGGTAAAAAGGTAGACAATTGAAGCCACCTAACGTACAATTCTTTGTCAGGTAGATTAACCTCAAAATCATTGTCAGGATTGTCATCGGACATTGGCAAAGCTACATCACCACCTACAGCACCTGGCATGATAAACGGATAACCTATCATTCCATAACTCAGAACGGTTGGTATCACAGTTTTGATAGCCTTCCAAGAGGAAGGGAAAGGTGGCAAAGATACAAATACCGGTGCTCTAGGTCTAGATATAGCACTGGATACGCCAATTACAGGAATTAAACCTAATATCGATTTGGTGAAGATTGTTTTGTAATGATCAGGATTCGTCAATGCTTGCTCACATTTATAATAATGTGGCATGTCTTGTGCGGTGCCTAAATCAAGATAAAACGAATCAACGTGATATTTTGTAATTAAACTTTCTAATTTAGCTTGAAGCCACGGTAATGTTTTGTTATTGGTAATATCCAGAACACCAGCGCTGTTGCTCTGTTTGTATCTGAAAAATTTAATAATAGATAAATAAGAAATACAGATTTAATATATTTTATATAAATTCAAATTATCAAAATATACCTGGTCAAAGCTGGAATCCTTGGATCACTACCTCTCTCCGAGATCAATAACCTATTTGCTACTGCATCTTTGAAATTGATCGATTCCGTAGATATAAACGGTTGAATGCTAAAAACTATTCTGAAACCACGACGATGAATGATATTAATAGTCTCCTCCATAGATGGAAAACGATCTTCGTCCAAAATGAAATCACCAGGACTGGGTTGCCATTCCTCGCTCAATAGTACATGACCTTGACGCAAAAAGCCTAATGCTATGACGTCTTCGGTATAATTGTAAATTGCAGCTTCATTTGTAGGTGAAATTTGCCAAACTGGTTCAGAGAGAAGAGAATGAACGGCATGTAACTCGTCTGGTTTCAATCCATCCCACAAAGATTTCTCCGCCATTGACGAATGAAGAATTTTCATGTTGTCGGTAGCACAAATGGTATAATTTAATTGTGGCAATGGCGTTAAATGATTTATATAGGCAAAATTATCGTGCTTAGCCTGGAGACAAAAGTCATTACTACGATTGGATCTGATGGAAACATAAAGAGGTGTTTCTGGATCAACCAAAATTGTGGCTCCTTTTGAATTAAGAAAATATCTTTTCAAAACATTTCCGAAAGGATGTTTCCTGACATCACCGGTTATGAATGGACTCAAATCTAATCTACCGTGTTCCAAAAGATACGGCATACTTTGAATCTGACCAGCACCATACCAATGTCCTCTATTCGTTGACCAATCAAAACAATCCTTTGGATTGTAATGAGGACTCAAACTCTGCCAGGTTACATGATAACAATTCATATCCCTGTGTTTCGTATGTGCCAAATAAAGACGCGTTTGTTGTAACCATTCGAGGCAAACTGAATCTTGTCGTTGATGATGCGGTAGGCAAGAGAAAACTCCAGTATTTGCTGGTATACCTTCACCTAATCGAGCAGCAATTACTTCAGTGCCGCTACTACTGTACACGTGCATCACTCGTTCGTTCTTATTGAATCTGAAATAAGTTAAGARAAAACGGAAAGAATAAAGACATGAAATAAAAAATTAACTCGTAATCACTAACACAAATAAGTTTCATTAAACTCACACATTAAATAATACTTTTGTTTTAAAAGTTAACAACGAACAGTAATTATTGTTATTTCTTACCTGAACTTGTCAAAATATGCTCTTTGTAGAACATGTTGGGTGTAATAAATGTGAGCAAATCCAACGAGAAATACCACACATAGAAACAATATTCCAACGAATAATCGGAGCCTAAAAAATGATTAAAAATAAAGAACTAATATTGATTGTTATAGAAACATATGCATTCGATAGAATAATGTACCCAGCGTACGATGTACCTGTAGTCCGCATTCTGTCGTTTTTTATTACTCCGCAATGCTTGTGGAATTGACAATTGAAGTTTTTCCTTGAGCAAACTGCTTATACTATTGACACTAGTGATTGTCGAATTGGCACTTTGTACTCCACCTGGAAGATCTATGGATTCGTTACCAAGCCTTTGTGTTATTGATGGCGATGCTGCTCTGCTTTTTCTTCTTGGTGGTGCTTGCAATGGTATTCTTTACAAAAAAAGACAACAAAATATTTAACTAAGTCGTTATAACAAATTAAACGATATATCAAATTAATCAGAGTACATAATCTTTCTTATTCTTTCTAATTTTTTTTATATAAATCTTGAAATAAATATAACGAGTATTTTACTGTTCTATATATATATATATATAATATTACCATAAAGAAGATAAAAACAATAAATTAATATGTTATAAATATTTTGTATTACATTTAAAGCAATAGGTTTTATATTTAAACTAACAGCAAATATTTATTAGTACTCTTGTGTGTGTGTGTGATCTAATATTGATATAATACTATTTGTAATAAAGAAACTGTAGTATAATTCTATTAAACAGAAAATAATAGAAATCCTTCAAAATTTACGTATCAACCAATCACATATTGTTTTTATTAATAACAATAATTAACAACACAAATTCAAGCTGTACCTTTGCAACGAAATTGCACTTCCAATATCGTATCTAGGCATCATTTTGATAGATTCTGTCTTTTTCACTATCTTCTTGAGACAATCAAAATTTATAATTTCAATTGAACAGATCTCACACGTTTCTTTTCTTTTCTTTTTTTTAAACCGATCGACTAAGTCGCTTTATTCCAAATAAATAAAAAAATAAAAAAAAAACAAAGAAGAAGACAAAATACGATAACACAATTATCTTAATAAACATCGGCGAAAATGATCGAAACGAGCTCGCAAAATTCTCTTCTTGATTTATACATCATTAAATTTATGATCATTCGTAAATTATACATCGAAAATGCGTATAATTAAAGAAATACTATAGGAAGATTAAATCAAATAAAGTAATACTATAACACAACGTTTGTCACGTATGGTACTACGAGAGTTGACTGTTGATTTTCTCGTAATGCGGGATAAAGACACTCCGAGAATTAGAAACTAGTGATAACCCTCGGGCGATATAAAGAAGGTCGAACTCGTCTCAATGATCCTCCTCCGAGTGACCTTGAACACTCCTAGGTAATTCGAGCGAATCCAAACACGTTCACTGCTATAAAACTAGCTCGGATATCTTCTTAAGATAGAAAATTGAGCTATTTATTAGTTTTCTTACACACTTGCATAATACATCTCAAAAATTGTGTATTAATCATTTCGTTCGATTAAATTGTATACAATAATCGAATTAATAATAAGATTTATTTTAGATACCTACTTTTGATTACTTCCACCATTAAAAAAAAATAATAACTCTTATCTATTTGTTAAAATATTTACAATACATTCGAAAAAAAATACCATGATCACGTTCAACGCAACATACACAAATATATGACTTGATAATAAAGAATTTTATTTCTTTTCTTTTTTTTATTGTTAAATGTTAAACTGGTTTTGAAGAACGTATTTCCTTGCGTTTGCATGTCCAATACGAAACGCACGTTAACACACACACACACATATAAAATATAAATACATGAGCATGGGTGGTCACACGTATAGATACACTCACACGCACATCATACACGCAGAAACGAAGAAAACCGGATAAATCCACTTTCAGTGGAAATCGAGGTACGATAATCGCATCGGTAAAATAATATAAACGTGTCTTACTTTTACTGGTAAAAATATTTCGAAAAGCATCGAAGAAGAAGAAGAAGAAGAAGAAGAAAAAAAAATATATATGTGTATGTATATATCTAACACGTACTTTACCAATTCCTCGTCATTGGTTTCTTCTTCCGTTTCAGAGCCGAGGGAACTTCCGTTAGGTGTCGAACCGCTGTTACTGAAAGTTACACTGCTACTGTCACTTTCGGCACTTGTAAATTTTGATGTGGTAGTCTAAAAAAAAGAAAATACACCTGTGTAATTAATAAAGATTAAATTAGAAGAATGTGTAAACATATATATATGTATATTATAGAAGTTGTTGCCAATTAGAACGATATGATGTAATATTTTATATCAATCATATTGATTTTATAAAGAAATATTTGAAACAAAAGTTATTAAGTAAGTCTTAAAAAAAAAATATAATATATATTGCAGTTACTTCATAGAAGACGCTATTGTAGAAATACAAAAATCATAATAATTTTTTTAAAAATAATCATCGTAACCTTTACAAAAAAAAATTGTCGAGAATATTAATATAAATATCTTTTACGAGCGTATACAACGTACCCATTTGTTTCAATATTTACAAACCTTTGCAATCGCAATGATATTATCTATGATTAGTGAAAGATGGGAAGTTTAAAATGAATTATAATTATTTGTGAATGAGGAGTATAATTATGGAATGAAAAAAACAAACAAATAAATATAAAAATCTATAAAAAAAAAAAAAAAAATCAATAATTAAAAGAATATATCAAAAATATGAATTTTTAATCGATATAATAAAAAGGATAAGAAAAAGAGCAAATAATTCCAACCAAATTTTGACGAGTCTTTATCACCGATTGTGAATAATGTTCATTAGCGTCCATCTTCATGTTCCTCTTGAATCTTTTTACTTTTTACTTTTTATAAACAAACTTTTCTTTTCCCCCCCTTTAAAGATATTTTATAAGCTGATCATACTTTCCCGTGTAAAAATCACGAGATGAGAAAAAAACAAGTAGTTTGCCATTTGAACGAACACGAATAACTATTACGTTTGAGAAACGTTGCATTTACGCTTTAGATGATCTTTCGTTTATGTACTTGAATAATGCTAAGTGTTGCGTAATTGAAAAAACATATATTGACAAGTTTCATACTTTCGAGAATAAAATTCGTTAACGAAAACAATCTTTGTCTTTTACCTTGTTCCAAGGAAAAGAACAAATTCATTTTTACACGCGAGACAAATAAAAAAAAGCAACTTTTTAATGCAAACAATTATTAGTATCATTTGATATCAAAGAAACAGATAGACAATATATGCCCAATATTTAACCCATTGGACTGCCAACCACGAGATATCTCGTAGTATGTGCTGCAATTGTAGATTAATTACAAATGGTTATTTGTTTGAAGAATTATTACAAAGATTGAATAAAATATTGATATGATGTAAAAAACATTTACTTATCAATTATTGTAAATATCATTATAATATTATATCAATAACTTGATATTATTATATTTTTCAAAGTTTAAGCCAAGACACTGTAAATATGTCTGACAGTCAATGGGTTAACATTAAAAAATAATTTGACCAATTTTGTAGAAATTATATGTTCATCACGGATCTAATCATTTTTTCAAAACATACCTCATGTACCTCATCATGTATCTCATGTACCTCATGTATAACAGCCAAACGATGCTTGTTCTTAATGTTATTTACAGACCATATCGAATTATAATTATGATATTCGCCATTTTCTTCATACATATTATTCAAAAGCGGTTCACTTTCCACCGCTTTCAATGACTCGTTGTTCATATAAGAATTCAATTAAAATATTTATATTAATTAGGAGAAAGTTAAACCTATATTTATACAATTACACGTGTTTTTTAATTTATATAATATAATATATATATATACTTATTTATGTAAAATATTCAACACGGTGATCAAATGAAAAATGAAAATTTATCTAAAAAAAAAAAAAAAACAATATGATTTTTAATTGAGCTATGAAATGAAAGTATCAATTGTTTGAGTTAATTTAAAACTAGTGAGAGAACTATCACATAAAAATAAAATCTCTTGACTTTTACTATTCCTGTATCTATACTTAACTGACAGTAATGATTAAACGTTTGAGAGTTAAGAGGTACAATATTATTGTTTCAGTTGAGAAAGCAAAGGTGAAAAGAAACATATGGACATAAATATAGATATACTAACTAATTCGTATAGATCATCTTTCTTAAGAATTGTTAAAGCTACATAAATATTGACAAAATGCTAAACCAGTGGTTCTTAACCTTTTCGAAGTCACGGAACATTTTTCATTAGAAGGAAAATTTGCGTATCACCAAAATCATCAAGACGATTAATATCATAAAATCAACAAAAAAATGTACGTAAACATTTAACTTTTATTAATATTGAAAGTTATATATAGATTATACATTATACATAACATAATATAATACAACATATATATATATATATATATTTAACATTTAATTATAGATATTATAAAGATAATAAATAATTATAAAAATAGAAAATATATATTAAAAAAATGAAAATATTAATTTAAAAATATTATATTAATAAAAACTTAAACTTTGAACACTTTTCAAGTCCAATTAAAGCGAAGAACCACTGCGATAAACAATAACATATTAGTCATTTTTATTATTCGAAATCAAACTATTGGGAATAATTATTATACAATTAGAAATAATCGTAGAGGTGCCCCGCCACGCGTTGCTGTGGCTCACAATCAGTCCGATACACACGTCTTTAAATCAACGCATTGCCTTATACCGCCATCTGTTAGAATCTTATCGAACTAACAGAGATAATCATAACTCTTTGTTAATAAACAAATAATTCGCAATAAATTGAGATATAAACTATCCTATCTTTCAAGTTAGATGAAACTGCACACAGTGTGTAAAATTTTATTCAAATCGGTTCAGTAGTTTAGGAGTCCATTGCGGACAAACAACGTGACACGTAATTTATATATCTTAAGATATATATATTATTCTTGGAATCTTTTATTTGTAATTGCATCTTGTAAATATTATTTAAATAATTCAATCCTATAATATGATTGCTTGTTATAAAATTCAATTCTTTTATTATAAATTATTTTTGTTAACCTATTGTAGCCAAATATTTTGTAATTACGCAATGGTGTGTAATAAATGTATTACGTGACATTTATAATATTGTTTAAAAATAGTAGTAAATGTGTTAACAAAATTACCTTCCGACCGTCGATACGAAGATCGTCCATCTCGTTTAATTTACTTGGCATTGAGATACTCGTTTTTCTAATTCTCGTAGCAGAAATGTCAGTATTTTCCAAAATTGGATTATCTTCTTTCGTAGATGCGTTAATTAATTGCGTAAGATTTTCATTCGGTTTTGAATTCGTCTCCGTTGTCCCATCGAATTGTTGAACTTTCGGACTATCTGAAAAATGTTAATTATTATTATTACATTCTATAATTATATTATGTAATAATTATTATATTTGAATTTTATTACATTTGCATGAAGAACGTTAAAATTATAATAAGTGGATAAGAAACAATTGTGTATTATCATAAACACACACATTATGAACACATATTAACAATAAACTATGAAATTTTACACAATTTATAAGCAATGAAAAATTGATGAAACTATTTAAAAAAAAAAAAAAAGGTAATTTAATCTAAGATAAATCAAATGTCAAATTCATTGCATTTCATTGAAATGCGATACTTAATAAATTTACATTATTTAATAAATACTTAATAAATATCTTTTCAAATAAATGCACATTAGAAAAAATCTATTTATAATAATTTTCTTTATATTAACAATTTGTCTTCATATCTTATAACTTATTCAAACAACAATCTAATCATAAAATCAATAAATAATATTACATTTTTTTTTTTTTTATTAACCAACAATTGTTTGATCTTAAGTCGTATATATGTATCAAAGCAAATTTATTTGTTCCCCTTCCCTTTTTTTTTTTTATAAAGAAATAAAACCATATAAAACGAAGAGACCATAAATCGATAAATATTTAAATTAACAAACTATATGTATTTGAACCTAAAGCATGTAATAGTTGCAACGAAAAGGAACACTAAAGTATAGTAGTGTTTTATCACTTTGTAAACTTTGCTAGAAAAAAAAAAAAAAAAAAGAGAAAAAAAAAATAAACACACACAACGTGTGTGTCGGTAGTGTCAACCAACAACAACGTCTACGTACGATATGACTATAACGATAAGCGGCAAGATCAAAGAGAATTTCTCGATTACTCGCTCCCATAATCTTCTAGCGTGTTACACTAATTGCATTTAACTTCACGTCGTTAACTCCGACGTTAATCGATTTATTTAAAACGGATTCTGTCGACTGTATTTTTGAAAGAATAAATGGTAACAAAAAAAGACACCAAAAATATATAACCTTTCTGAATGAATTTAAGAAAAAGAGAACAAAAATTATGTGTGACTGTCCTACTGAGAAAGACGATGAAAAGAAAATATCAGAAACGGTGACTCTTTTTGAAAAATGTCGAAGATCTTACAGACCAGGACAAAATGTCGAACTTTATGATACTGATACGAATGATCGTGACTTGAATAATAAAAAAGATGAAATTCAATTTATTGAAAATGATTCGAATGATGATATTAAATGTTTCAATTCGTTAAAACAACTTTCGTTGTTTGATTCTTCAAGCGATTCGAGTAGAACGGTAAAAAATAATATATATGATTAATATAAATCGAAAGATTAATCCTTTTGATATTACAGTTTGTAGTATAATATGTACTTTAACAAGGAATATTTTAATTACAATTATTTACTATATAGTAATAGTAATTATAATACTAATAATAATTACTATATAGTAGAAGTATATATATGTTATCGTAAAATACCGAAATTGAGGAATGTCCAGATTCACTATCCAATTTCAAGTTTTCATGTTAACATCTACAAATTGTATATTTTTCAAAAATAAATTAAAAATGAATATTTTATGACACACAAACGATATAAGAGTATAGATAATTGACAATGACACAAATTTAAAAATGTGCGTGCACAGAAAATAAAAAACAAAAACACTCCCCTTATCAATTACAGTATAAATTTGTGAGTCAAAGAGGGTTAACCAAACGTAACGGGAATGAAGAAGAAGGAGAAGAAGAAGAAGAAGAAGGGGAAACAACACCGTTTATTTTCGAGCCATGTATGACACGAATAAATGAAATTGAAAAAGAACCAGACATTGAATATACTCTAGCCATTATTAAACCGGAAGCAATGATTTATAAAAAACAAATCGAGCAACGAATATATGAAGAAGGTTTTGAGATACGTCAAACACGTTGGTTACAATTAACACCCGAACAAGCATCCGAATTTTATTCGGATAATTATGGAGAAATTGGTTTTGCTCGTTTAGTTGCTTATATGTCTTCTGGTCCAATCATAGTATTCGTATTAAGTAAAAATCGTGCTGTTCAAGATTGGAGATTTATCATTGGTCCTACGAAAGTAAATTAATCAACAATTTTATTATATCTCTAACAATTTATATCGAATCTTTATTATGAACGTTATCATTTAGTTTATAAACATTTTGATATAATGAATTTCATTTCTATTCGTACTATTTAGGTTGCAGAAGCTCGATTATATTTTCCCGACAGCGTAAGAGCAAAATACGGTCAAAGAGGGGATGATTTTAAAAATGCCGTACACGGAAGTTCGACACGCGAAATAGCTGAAAAAGAAATACACTATTTCTTTCCCGAATGTAATAATACGGACCATGTGTTAAAACTATACATTTTATCATACTAACTTTTTAATTGTCTAATTTCTTACAGCTATAATCGAGCCTTTGATTAAAGACGAGTCTCTTGTTGATTATCTATGGGAAACGATCAATCCAATTCTCACAGAAGGTTTAACTATGGTAAAAATTAATTATTAATTTGACCATTTAAACGCCAACTCCTATTAAAAAAAAAAAGAAAAAATCAGAAATATAAGCCGCACACAATCGTAATAAATAAATCTCATTTTTTAAGTGTTGCAAATTGAAACCAGCCGATCCGTTGTTGTGGTTGGCACATTGGCTCATACTGAATAATCCTAATAAGCCCCGATTACCCGAAAATTTGGCATTCGTTCCAACGTAAAAAAAAAAAAAACGAATTCAAATAAAATTACCATAATAAGAAAGAAAAAAAAAAGAAAAGAAGTCAAATGTGTAAATTATCTTACCTACGAGGCTGATTTCTCTGAACACCAAGGACAACCGATCTCGACGACATGGCGTTGTTCTATTTGTTCGTTTTTCCACAGCACTTTGTAAATTATACCTAAAGAAATACGATTATTCTTTCAAAAGATTCCTTTTTATTTCTTATATTTCTTTTCTCTTTATTTTTTTTTTTTTTTTTTCCACCTCACTTTAACGTCGTATTTACTAAGCTAACGAGAATAATTCGGAATAATTGTAACGATTCCTCGACCTTGATTCGACCAGACGATGAATGATCTCAGTTTCGCTACGTTCGATGCTCCTAGACGATCTTTCGTTTTCTTTTTTTTCTTCTTCTTCTTCTTCTACATTTCGTTCATATCGATCAACTTGAAATTGTAATTTTAACGGAGATCGGTTGATCGATTTATTTTTATATTTACACTGTAATCCGTTAACAATCGAATAATTAAATGGCAAATCATCAATTAAACAACTTTGAGATCTTTCGTTCTCGAAACGCACTTGCACTCCCGACGATGATACGTCGTCACCATCACCATCAACATAACAGCAGTAGTCGTTGTCGTCGTCATTCTCGTCATCATAACAGTCACAGCATCTAATTTCCTGCTTCCCGTTGATTAATCCATTGTCGTTTCGAGCGCTCAACGGCGAACGTTCGAACTCATCGCCGCCATTTTTCTTATCTCTTGCATTATTTTTTATCGATTGTTTAGATCTATTAGAAATATTCTCTTCATTGTCTTCGACAGATCTTCCCATTCTCTCGATCGATATCCTATTGATGATAATTATCTACAATTATTTTTCTTTTATTTTCTTTTCCTCTTTTTTTTTTTTCTTTTTTACGATGAGTAGTCATTTTTACATTACTGTTACAGCGTCCTGAATTTTAGTATATATATATATATGTGTGTACATGTTTTATTCACCTTCACAAGAAGAACAAAATGTAATTTATTTTATTTTAAATACAAAAATGTGTTATTTGCAAATATTAACACAAAATTCATTAATATTATTGAATTTTTATCTAATAATGAGTAACTAAAGACAAAAATACAAAATTTCATTGAATTTTATTTACTTGTTTTCTATTAATTATTGTAATATAATTAAAATAAAACCTTGTGATATTTATTAATCCGATCAAAAGTTAGTTCAGATACGGTTAGTAAAATAGATGGGTGACCAGTTTGAAAAAACACAAACCGTATCCTGTTGATTCCAAAATGGTGGTAAGAAGACATAAGTGCGAGAGAAGGTATTCATAAAATAATGACTCGTACTCGTAAAAAGGGAGAGTAAAAAAGACACAATATATCACTAATAGTATTTCTTTACAGTTTACTGTTAAACTTATTATTATAAAATATTAATTATTAAAAAAAAAATACTAGTAAATTAAAAATATTTGAGATATATAATATACTACTTATGTCAATATATAATACTAAAAAATGTCAACATTATTAATGTACCAAATAATTATAATAATAATATTCAATTTATTTCTTACCTTTTTCGAAAAGAACAAAAAAAAAAAAAAGAGAAAAAGAACACAATTGATTTTTCGCAAAATGAAAATGAAAAAAATTCATGAACGTGCCTCTCGTGAGAATTGTCATTGTTCGTAGGATATGGATCTTCCTTAGTTTGAGTTTGTTTATCAATTTCGATGTAAGATTTGGCAGAAGGTTTGTACCATGGTGAAGGTGTTCTAACTGGGCCACCTACAATTGGCCATTCTTGTAAAGAATTATCATTCTGAGAAAAAGATGGTAACGTTGACAAAGAGACACCACGTCTCTGGGCCAATCCAATTGGATTGACACTGGCTACTTTGACGTCCCATGGATCTGCTATGGACAACAGCAATTTCTAAAAAACGTAAGTAAAAAATCGACAGAAATAAAAGAAAATTACAATAAACGGATAAAATATACTACAAAACAATTATTATTTCGTGAAATATCAGTCAAATAAGAACACAAAGTTTATTATTAATTACGACAATGGGTTATTGACAATTATCAAAACTATTCACATAGTAATAACTCGATCATATATTCGAATTACTAATTTTTGTATCGCTTAAAATTATTTATTTATCATTAAAGAAAAATGTTAAATACGATTTCACTTATTAACATTATTATATATATATATAATTATTTATTTGAGATAGATTATAATTTTTCATGAAAAATGTAGAATATTCGTACTTGATCTTCCAGACAAGTCATATTTCATATTCAATTTTCAATAATTCTTATTTTGGACATATTTCATTTGTTACTGATTTTCCTATCAATATTATAGTGTCCCGTGATCCATGCATCGGCCTTTAACCCCATGACACATCGAGAATCATCGTGTGTGTCTTATCTAATAAGTTCATTTATTCAATAACTTGGTATAATGTTCCGTTAGAATCTAATTTAATGTAGAATAGTAGCAAATTATCTTAATATAATCTATAGCGTATTTACAAATAAATTTATGATATCTTGTAGACATTTATTACCGGTAACACACTTATATCTCATTTGTCGTAATGGCTTTAATCTGCTAAGCTTTGTGCAATCTCGAATAAACTCAATGATAAATATTCAGAACTCGATGTGTGTGAATGTGCAAGACTCTTTACGATTAACAAATGTTAAGCTACTTCAACTGAGATATACAATATATATGTACATACTACACACATACATATGTACATATAAATATAAATATATATATATAAACGTAAATAAGCTCTCTGATAATACGATAAAATATTTTTTCTCAATAGAATTTTTCCTAAGATTTAGATAAATAAAAATACTATATATATATATATAATAAGATTAAATGGAAAATTATAGGTCATGAAAATATATATATATANAATATATATATATATATATATATATATATATATATATATATATATATATATTTGTTTTAAATATAATAGAAGTCAAATTTGTTTATATTTTCCAAACTTTTCTGTAGTTTCTTTTATTTTTTTTTTTTTTATTTAAATAAACAACGCCACATTTATAATGTTACATTTGACAAATTACAACACTATTATATTGATCTCTATGAAAATTATTATAAATAATTGATATACAAAGATAGAAGAAATTAGAATAAAAATAAAAAAAAGGAAAAATCAATGATAAAAATAAATGCAATGATTAAAAAAAAAAAATCAACGTGAAGATTCTTCGTACGACTATTGTCAAGAATACATTTGAAATTAGGTTAAATGAATTGTCGGACAATACAACGGGTGTCATTGTGTTGTCTTCTTGAATGAAAAACAAAGTCTATTCTCATAGAATCATTGTTCTTTTTTTTAATTGCCGGTAAAAATCGATATTATTTATTGCCTTTTTTTAAACCGAACAGTAACGATCTGTCTCTTTTATTTTTCTCATTATTTCTTTTTTCAAATTCATTTAATTTATGTCCGTCGTACATTTTTCGCGTTTTACGTTTAACCAACGCTCGAAGGAAAAATATTTTCATGATATTTTACAACGAGATAAATTTACAACAGCGAGATTATGAAAATTTATATATATATATATTATTTTTCTGTTTTTTTTTATAACTTTTAATAATTTTTGTTTTTGTTTTTTTTTTCTGATCATTTTAAACAATTTTATAAAAATCTATCACGTTTCTTGTCACTAAAATTGATTTAAAATAAACACCGCATTCGTAATCGGATATATTCGTCGCGTGTTGTTAATTAACGATAATTAAAATATTATTTTTACGTAACGTTTCTCTTTTATTATTATTATTTTCATCTCCTTCTTGAAATAGTATATATAAATATATACTGTATATATAATAATAAGTATAAATAAATACGACGATTAATGATAACTTTTTTTTTCTCTTTATTTTGATTAATGAAATCTACCAGTTTACGATTTGTTGCGATATCACTTTAATAAAAACGTTGCTGATTAAAAAGAGAGAGAGAGAGAGAGAGAGAGAGAGAGAGAGAGAGAGTATGTGAGATAAATCAAAATAAATAAAATTGATCTAAATAGGAAATATACCTTTTTTTTATTCTTCTTTCGTTTCTTACGTTTGATTCGATCCATTCTTCTTCTTCCTCTTCTTCTTCTTCTTCTTCTTTTTCTTTTTGTTCTTTTTGATTATCGATAAGACATTAAAAAAGAAAATTTATAAACAATTTTTGGTTTTTCTTATAAACTTATAAAAAAAAAAAAAAAAAACTAAATAAATAAATAGTACAAATAGCAATTAGATTAATAGAACTTCCAACTTCTGGGACAGGTGGTTCTAGACTGATCTTCTGTTCCATATATCGGTAACCACTTAGCGATATCTTCTTAGAGCACATTCAGTGTATATATCAGTTAAACATATACATATACACACGAGCATTAGTGTCTTTTTCGCATATACGTACAAACATACATATACACAGATATATATATATATATATGTATAATGTAAATGTAAGTAACTCACGCGATCATTAAACAATACATGTATATACATATATACACAGACAGATATTTTCAGAGATTGTCTTTGTTTCTTTTCATACTTTATAAGTTGTCCATTTCTTTGACTGTGTGTATATATATTTATATGTTAAAATATGTGTGAGACTCTTACATGTTCTCAAAGATAATGTTGCTTCCACCAAGTGAACCTATGAGATCTTTGAAAAGAAACGAATGAGAAAAAATTCGTATATATATATATATATATATATATATATATAATAATACAATTGTTTATATATATAGTCCTTAAAAAAAAAGAAGTAAAAATTATTTTATTTTATTTTATTTTATTATTTTTTTTTTTTTTTTCCAATAAAAATACTATTCCTTTTTTTATTATTCTACACATCTTCTTGTTATAATTATTATTTATTTTATTTTTTAAAAATATATAATAAAGAAATAAATTGGAAATGTGTTGCCTTTTCTCTATTGTAGTTTTTATTTTATTTTTATTTTTAATTTAATCAGAATCTTAATTATTTTTAAATCTTTTTGTTAATTATTATCTTTTTTTTTTTTTTAAATTTCATTCAATCAGATTTAAGAAATTTTTTTCATTTTTTTTTTTTTTCATTGATCAATTGTTTTCTTACCAGTGACAAAAACTTGTGTATGCTTTCGAGTATATCTGTATATGCGTGTGTATATATACTTCATGAGTTTTCATCAAATTAAAGTAATCACGCTTATACAAGATCGTTACGAAAAGAACCGTTTGATTTACATCCGCCTTCCTGTAAAAATAAAACAAATGTCCTGTGTGTTTTGATCTGGAAATTAGGATTATTTTTCTTTAGAAGATAACAAAATAAAACTAAAGTATTCTTTTTTTTGTTTGTTTATTTAGTTAGAGTAAAATAAAATAAAAAAAGAAGAGATAAAAAATAAGATTATTTTTTTTTTTTTTTGAAGGAAAAATAATATATTAATTTTTCGTACAATTTCTCTTTTATGAGAAAAGTCATTTTGTATTGTTTTTTTTTATTTTATTTTTAACATTTCAACTGTTAGAAAGTAAACTAAAAAGAAATTATTTTTCTCTTTTTTTTTTTTTTT